ACATTAACCTTACGGAAGGTTTTGTCTGTTGGACCAAAAGTCTGCATTAACCTTCCGGAAGGTTGTTGCGACCTTCCGGAAGGTTTTGCCCAGAATTTTATGCCTCTTTAGTTTTTCATTTTCAATCCACCCAAAACCTTTCCAAATTCATTCCAAACATGTATAATAACATTTTTCACATTATACATGATCCATACAAGTTCTATTACAATTAATTTCATACGATTACAAGCCCATTTACACAATTACATGCTTAAAATAGAATTTTACGAAAATTTGTCTCCAAAAGCCACAAATTGGCTTTTTCTTCACCATTGAGGTCCCGAGTTCGAGTCCTCTCCCGGTACGAATCCCGCACCTGAAATGTTTTCCGTATAGGGTGAGCCAATGCCCAATAGAGTATTTCCTACAAGGGCTACTCCCCCGGGTCTTTCTTGGGGTGGGTATTTATGGACTTACATCAACGGTCACTCAACCGACATGGAATTTATGGAATTCCACCAATGGTTCCGCGTACACCGACACACTTTATGGGCTCTTATACCAACGAAAGTGCGTATCCAAATACCGGGTCTCTTACCCGAGGGATAGTCTAGCCCTTCTTACTATTCCGGCCTAATTCTTTTTCATGCAATCGTGCGACTCAACCTAAGTGCATATGCAATGTTCACATGCAACATTTAACAACAACAATCATTCCAACCAATACTTAAGCAAGTCAATGTTGAAATCTAACATACCATGCCATGAATTGAGATGATGCTTTATTTATGCAATTTACTCGAGCCCTTCCCGGCTCCATAACACATGCAATGCCAATGTGTGTTAAAACTGAGTTTGTCTAGCTCTGGCTATTTACCTTTCACCCCATGCTATGCAGTGAGTATCAAAATTGGACTTTTCAAGCCCCCCGCCATTTGTGTTACACACCCAATGGCTAACTAAAATCTCCAGGTCTTTCTTGGGGTGGGTATTTATGGACTTACACCAATGGTCACCCAACTGACACGGAATTTATGGACTTTCACCATCGGTTCCGCGTACACCGACACACTTTATGGGCTCTCATACCAATGAAAGTGCGTATCTAAATACCGGGTCTCTCACCCGAGGGATAGTCTAGCCTTTCTTGCTACCCCGACCCAATTCTTTTTCATGCAACCGTGTGACTCAGCCAAATATTCAATTCAATTTTTTCGAGCCCACCTATTATCCACCTCCATGGTGTTTGACGCCAACCATGCACCCACACCCATAAATTGCAATGTCTATGTGCATATGCAATGTAATGTTTCATTGCTAATTTAACATCATGCCCACATGTAATGAATACCACATGAGCAAAATTAACTACATGCAAACAAGTCTCATGGCAACTTATATCCGAAGCATATAATCCCCAAACTCTCTCTCAATGCTATATATCAATATATATTATTCTCAACAACGATTCACAAGCATGTTATAACATAAAATATGCTAACAACACACTTAACTCCCAAGACATAAAACAAACACATATCATGCCCACATAACAATCAATTTCATGGATCACATTTAATCTAATTCACCAAATCAATCAATTCCAACCCATAAACATGAGATATCAACCTCTACTAACCTACCCATTACATAAAACACTATAAGTTGTAAAATAAACCCGAGTAGGAAGGAACCCTACCTCTTGAAGCGTAAACCCACTTGGTAGAAGCCCTCAAGACTCAATTTCTAGCTCTAATCCCTTGATTCCACCAAGCTTGGTTTTGAAACTTCGATGAAATCCATCTTTTTTGGTGTGATCGTGTAGTCCTCGATGAGGAGACCGACTTTTATTCTTACCCCGAGTAGATTTGAGTACCGTAGCCTTGTAGATCGTAGAGAGAAGTGAAGAGTTATTCCCTTTTTCCCTCTCTTCCCCTCTCACGTTAACCGGCTGAAGAAAAATGGGAGAAAATCTGATTTTTTCCCCTATTTATACTCTTAGAATATTTGGCCCACAACGCGCCACACGGCCTTTTTGTTTTCGGGTCCATTTTCATCCCAAAATGATTAAATTTTGTCCCGATTCAAGTTTAAATTAAATTTATTTTAATTTGCTTTTAATTATTTCCCAAATTTCAAAATTTTATTAAAAATTTCGTTTTTGGTTCACCCGAGACTCGACCGTCTCGTCAAACACAAAAAATCTGACTATCTTAGAATTCGATGAAATTTGACATGGTAACTAGATTTCGCGAGACGAATCCAACAATGAGATTCGTTTAGTCATCCGAGATCTAAAAAAATTTAAATTTTTAACCCATACTGTAGTAGCAAAATTACTGTTTTGTCCTTGTTTACAAAAGTTTAAATTTATCGGGTTTTATAAAAGAGCCTAATGAAAAATTAATGAAAGCTTCTTTCCCACCATTATGTGTCAATAGTCCCACCAATATCACTACAATCTCCCTCCAAGTCTTTTAACTCTATGTCTTCCCACTTGTGTAGGTATTTTGTCAAGCTCCAATTATTCAAGGTCTCATATAACGGCATTACTTTAACAATATATTTATCTTCATGAACCTCCATTATCTTATCCTTTATAGTATCAATGGCAATAATATCTCTAATCTGGGTTTTGATGTTGAGACTGTCATTTGCCAACATTAAATAACATTCCTCAACATACTCAACTCGAGAATTCAAGCATGCTTGCCGAACCACAAGTAAGGGACCTTGATCTCCTTCCACCTACTCTTCTGGAAATTTCATTGCCACCAACGGGACTTTCTTGTTCTCAGGCACCTCCCTGAACTCCAAAATTTCCATAATGGCATGGATCCAATCAAGGAATTCTTTAGGCTGTAGACTGCTTGCAACCTGCCCAATCACTATGCCACTAAGGTCTGGGGCTTAGGCCCTACTTTAAAGAGGTTACATAATTTTTAGGTGTGCAGTAATGGTTCAAATAAAAAATTTTAATCCATAAGAAATAGGTCCCACAAAAAACTTAGACTTAAGCCAAAATAAAAGATTTTAACTTGAATGGATTAGACTTATTAATTCAGATTGTGAAATTAAAAGGCCCTAAAATTTAATTTTTTGAAAACAAAAGGAAAAAAGTTAACAAAAAAAACTAAAGCTACTAAAAAACAAGTCTTAACCCCCCAAAAAAGTCAAATTCAAACTTACCATCTTAATTTTTCAATCATTATCTCTTCCTTTCTCTCTTACCATCAAGTTCAACAATGATAACAAAAGTTTGAAAATAAAAAATTAATCAATATTTTTGTATTTTAGAAAATAAAAAATTATTTTTAAGCAAATTTATATTAATATTAAAAATAAAAAAGCCTCATTTATTTTTTTTACTTTAGGCCCCAAAATGTCTGGGTTGCCTCTATTGTCTTGAAAATATGGCAGGTTAATCTTTAGTCTAGACTCCCATCGCTGATAATCGATCTCTAGCATCATGGCTCACATTTCCCTAAGCCTGGTTGGATGCCCAATAAAAGGATTTTCATTGTTGTCCACCAAACTCTTTGTTTCCTCCTTTACCCATCGTGGATTCTGAGGTGGTCGTTGCAGGTTGTGCTTGCTGTTGTTGTTGAACAACAACATTTAGGACTACCATTTGTTTGGCTAAAACGCCAAATTATTGTTGCATCATCACGTCTCTTGCATTGAATTTGGCTTCGTAGAGTTCCTCCACGACATAGTGACAGGAACGTAATTGGACTCTGATATCAACTGATACAGGGAAATGGATAAAAATAAGGGTTTAACCAAAAAAATTGATAATAAAAATAAACTTTTGATATGCACAAAAATATCGGATTAAATTTCTACCCTGGGGTTGTTGATTCACAAAGAATGTCAATACTAAAGGTTTCAATAAATTTGTTGATTCCTACGGAATTTTAGAAGAATTGAGAATAAAAAAGATAACTCTCTCAATTGTATTAATCAATCCAAAACTATTTGCCCCGAGACATAATAGACTTTAAATTGTAGTAGAAACCATAAAGTAACTAGTAAACTAGAATCTCAAATAAATTAAGAAACCAAATAAAATAAAATCTTAATTGAATTGAAAAATAACATAAAATAATTTTCTACTACAATTAGGAAATAGAATAAAATCTCCTAGAATCCCTTAATTGAACATCATTGACCACATTCAAATAAAATACCAAAATTCTTGTCTTGTGCACTGCATCAAATACTATACTCATTGTTACATTCTCATACTTTACCATGTACTCTTATAATCTCCACAATATTTCTCTATTAATTAATTGAATATTTTAAAATTTTTACTACCTTTAACTTTTTATAATTCTAATGGTTTAAGTGGGAGAAAATATTGGGTGTAATAATGACATCATCTTATCTCTATCACGTAGTGTCACCGTCCAATAAAAGTATAACAAATAAGCAAGTACTAACTATCCATATCTTTTGGTAACCATCCAATGTCTACTACTAAGTGTGATTCATCTTACTCACTTGTAAATGTATTATTAAATGATAACACCACGTAACAGTGATAACGTGATGTTACTGTTAAACCAATTATTCGTGATTTCACTATTACACCCAATATTTTAGAATGAGTAATGTTATTGAAATCTAATTTACTGATTTAATTTGTTAACTTAATTCACTATGATCTTTGAATTGATTATGATATTTAAATTGACTATGATATTCAAAAAAAATTATATTATTAAATCGACAAATTATATCACATTTTTAAGTTCAAATAAAATTACACTTTTAAATCAACAAATTATATCACATTTTTAAGTTCAAATAAAATTACACTTTTGGATAGAGTGCTTGAAATACGTGTTTCACACGGGTCGAAGTTCCGGTACAGGGCATAAAACCGAGTCTCTAGTCTCTAGGCGGCGATTTGCCACAAGATATAAATTGAGCGCGCGGGCTCAAACTTTACAACGAGGTTGGAATCATACTAGTTTTCTTCTTTGTCATCACAATCCTTCTAGGCCAAAAAAATGGGGCACAACAAACCAAGGCGGTCCAAAAGCCATCACCATTCGCATCGAGGAGGAGGGGGAGGACAATCCAGTCGCACCTACCAAAGGTACTTTAGTTCTACACCCACTTTTCCTTTTCAACTCTATATGGCCTTTACCCAAGTGGGTTTGTGGTCACTGATCACTGTATTGTTGTTCAGGGAGGACGAGTCTCTCCCAGTGGAACCAGGTATCAATTTCACCGCATCTCGCTTTCTCACTCTGCTTGTTCGTTTGTATACGCACTTGTTTATTCCCCTGCGTACAAGGTGTTTGATATTTTGTTCCAGTCCAGACCCATTTTGATTAGACACTTCACAAGCTTTTATTGTCGCAGAAGTTGAAGAGGAGCACACGGGTCCTAAAATTGAGCTTGCCATGTGGGTATGTATATCGCTGTGTGTATGTATGTAAATTGCATTCTTGTGAACTAGGTAGAATATATGGGAGGTGTTCATGTCACATGGTTGGGTGTCCTTCTTCTTGTATAAATATGCTTTCTATTTTGTTTCTCTTTTTATTTTTTTCCTTTTTCAATTTCAGAGATTAGATAATTATTTGAATTATCTTCAGTTTTTTTTTTTTTTTTTGTTAATGGGTGGCCATTTTTTTTTCTGTCAAGATTGTTGTTTTGATACAGTTGCACAGCATACCTAATTAATGATTTTGAGATGAAAAAAAATCATGGTGTGTCAATTATGAAAATTGTCATTGTTTAGTTGGTATTTCTTTCCCTTTCAATGCTATTCAATCTTCACAAAAGTTTCAATATTATGTGCTAAGTTCTAACTATCATTTTCCTGCCAAAGATCTTGAGGAAATGTTCTAGTTGGAGGTAAGTAGGACTGCAAGAGTAATTTTTATGGACACAGATGTCAAAACCTTGTCATGTAGCATTCAAATTTACAGCAATGAATCTTACTGAGTCACTCGTTTCAGGATTTCGGCCAGTGTGATGCCAAAAGGTGCACAGGACGCAAGCTTTCGAGATTTGGTTTGCTAAAAGAAAGTATTTGTATTATTTTCATTGTTTTGATTACCTTTAGTTTAAGCTTGCAAAAAGGTGGACCTTTTCTTTATGCTAGTAGTAGATTAATTGGTTCTTGCTCCTTGATGAGAGTTGCCAATCTGCTATTTTTTTTCAATTGCCCATCAATTGTGCAACTCAAGCTTTTTTCTATAGAATGAGCCGTCTTATATGATGACTGAAAAATATTATGCAGGAGTTGCGCGTTGGTAATGGCTTCGGTGGCATTGTTTTAAGGTACTTACAGTGAAAAAGTTAAACATTTGTATGCATATTTCTTAATTCCCTCGGCAGTCTTATATCTTGTCATGTAATGAGAATAACATTGAGTTTTGCATTGCTTAAAGAATATGTCGATATGTGTAATGCATAGTTCGTATAGATGTTTTGTTTCTTGTCTGTGGCTTACATTGACAATAACATGAATGCTCAATGTGGGTCCATAGTTGATGCGCTCATCCATTCAGTATGGGCAGATACACTGCCCACACCTATTAAATAGTTAATTATTTTTGCCATGTATTCTCATACTGTTCGGTGATAAAAATGTCCGCTCCCCCCTCTTGCTCCCATCCCCACAAAACAAATATGAAGGCCTTAGGGTTCCTCTCACCCCCACCCCCACCCCCACCCTT